CTATAGTGTTCCACTATATTTTCAGGTAAGTTATACTTATTAGTTTATCATCCTAAGTTTAAATATGAGAAGAATTCAGACACACAAACTATAGGATAAGACAAAAAGTATGAGAAGTATTTGAAAACAATTAGGTTTTCAGAGACTTCTAAGGGAAGCTGTACCTGGACCATAGTAGCTTCTGGTAGCCTACATGGTATTACGATGCCAACCAGAAGGTCAGTGGTTTGAAACCACCAGTCACTCTTCAGCCTTTAAAAGATTTAAAGTTTGGAATAAAGTCACTGTGAATTAGAATCAGATAGATGGCATTGTGCTTTTGTTTTTTGTACGGGAGACTCTGAGATAGGTACAGAAACTACAAGTTGGATATCACAAAGCCAGAACACCACCTGAGAAGAGTGGAAAAGAAACAAGCAAATTGAAAAGGCATGTATGTGTATGGTGTGAGTTAGAGGGTCTCAAATGTAAGGCCTTATGGCAATTTCCATCAACATTTTTTCAGATATAAATTTTTCTTTTTCAAATTGCACAGGAAATGTTTCAGACACATTTTAATAGACCGACGTCAGGGCGTGCTGCATCTTTCACGTTTCAGGGGTGAACTTGCCTGGACATTTATGTGCAGAGCCGAACTGCCCCCCGAGTGTTTGGAAGCAGATCACCTGATCTGTTCCCACTCCAATTCTCACTTTTCTTTTAAGAGTTTCTGCACACAGATAGAGAAATCGTGCCATCTTAAAATAAGCCTGCAATATGTTAAATTTAATAAAGGAGTTTGAATGCTGACACACCCAGTCAGTCACAACTCATAGCAGCTCTATAGGACGGAGTGGAACTTCGTTTGTAAGGTTCTGAGGCTGTAATATTCATGCGAGCAGAAAGTTTCATCCTTCTCTTGCAGAATGGCTTGTGAGCTCCAATAGTTGACCTTGCAGTTGGCAGTCCAACATAACCCACCATGCCATCAGGGCTCCTTAGTTATTGTGCAGTAACTCCTATTTCTGACCACCCCCCTTTTAAAACATAATACTTTTGAACTGCCTGCTATTCAGTTCCTAACAAATGTGAAGGGAATTCAGGTAAATTCCAAGTTCATATAATAGGCCCAAACTAAATGAAGCCAGTATGCATTTCCTCTATCTCAGACTAGCTAACACTACATTAAAATATCCTGATTTTTTTGTACGTCAGTAGTGAAGAGTTGTATATGCCTTATGTTCTGTACCTCATAAACTTGAACTGATAGGGGCACTAGTACCATTTTTGGAATCAGAGGTCAAATATACCTAAAAACAAGTCTAACAGTTGAGGCACCAAGGTTTATGTTGGCCAGAGTTATTACAGAAACTATGTCTTATACTGTGTACAACAGAGACACAAAAGTGAAAAAAAAAAACAAAACCCAAACCAGCTCTCATTTTATGGGCATACTTCATTCTACTGCACTTCACATGATTGCGCCCTGCATGGACTGTGTATTTTATAACGTGAAGGTATGTGGCTACCTTGCCCAGAGCAACTCCATCAGCGTCACTTTTTCCACAGCCATACTCACTGTCACACTGTGTCCCATTTGGCAAATCTACACACTATTTCAAAGATTTTCATAATGCTATCACACATGAACAGTGCCAATATAACTTTTATGTGAACTTGAAAAATTAAATAAAAATGTGTGTGAATCACTTTATTGCTAGATTAACTTTATTGTGAAAGTAGAATGCAGATAAAAAAATCTAAAATAGATTTGAAAGAAGTTTTGGGGATGGTAGTGAAGAATTTTAGAGTAGTCTCAGTTACTTGGCCTTAAACCAAAAATAATGGGCTCTTTTAAGGATTTAATTAGAAATAGGAAGACTGATAAGTCGGTTTAGGAAAAGAATGAAAATGGTGTTATATTAGGAAGTGAGATCAATTAGAGTGCCAGTATCTTAGTACAGGAAAATTAGACACAATTAGTCATGCACTTTTTCCATATGCAGATCATGTTGAGTAAAAATTATGTGAGCAGATGAGCTTTTAAAGTTAAATATTTTTTCCAATAAAACAATCCCAAAGAAATAGCTCCACTTTTTGAACAAAGGTCAGTAAAATATTATTTCCAACGATGTATTTCTGTTTCTACTTTTCTTCACAGTCATACTTGTCTTTGACTCTTAGTGACCTCATTGGTGTGCAGATAAGAACTGCCCCCACAGTGTTTCAAGACTGTGCCTGTTGGGAAGCAGATCACCAGGTGTGTCTGCCAACATGGCCCTGGGTATGTTTGAATGCGCAACCTGTGACCACTGGTTGATTGCTTAACCATTTGTGCTACTAAGCAGTCAGAAAAAAAGCTAAAATTAAACATTTAAATTTGAAGTACACTACTATGTACTATCATAGACTATAAAAGATCACTAACAATACTTTCTAAAATTTGAGCTTTGTTACCTAGAATTTTCTATCTCAGCCCGAAACCTTGGTGTTGCTGATGCACATCTACCTTTTTATGTTCCAAAAACAATCTATGCTTCAGTTCAGGAGGATGACATCTTTTGACTCTATCAAAGACCTTCACTGGCTTCCATCTCTTCCACCACCATTCAATTCTTAGTCTCGGGGGCTTCTGCGCTTGGGCTCTGATCCTTCAGACGGAGCTCTCAACTTCACTCTTCTGGTGGTCCTGGTATTTTTCTCTCAGCATGAGCTGTCTCTTGTGCAGAGATGTGGATATTACTGCAATTGGGTGAGCTTTCTTGTTTCCACCATATTCTCCTATGACTCCTTCCGTTATTTCCCTGGCTATGCCTTAATAATCCCACTCTATTGTCTTCAAATATTTTAATAACTATTTATAGTTACTCTAGTGACAAAATATTTTCACATCAAATTTTCTGATTACATAAATTATGAAGCGCCTCCTGTTTGGTAAAATTTTAGAGTAGTCTCTGATACCTGGCCTTAAACAAAAAATTATGGACTCTTTTAAGGATTTAATTAGAAATAGGAAGACTGATAAGTCGGTTTAGAAAAAGAATGAAAATGGTGTTATATTAGGAAGTGAGATCAATTAGAATGCCAGTATCTTAGTACAGGAAAATTAGACACAATTAGTCATGCACTTTTTCCATATGCAGATCATGTTGAGGATCAGTGGAAGAAAGACGCCCTCCACAATGTGCATAGTCACACTGGTTGCCATGATCGGCGCAAACACAGTGATGATGAGGATGGCGCAGACCAGACAGTGCTTGATACTGTTGTGCAGAGAGTCCTGACGAATGGAAATCTAATCATATGGCACCCAACAACACTACAAACGACTGTATGCTAATATATAATTGTATTTACTACTCAAATAGATTGAGTTTTACTTTTATAAGTGGTAGTGTTTACAGTAAGGTACTGTGAAGTCACCAATATCTGAGAGTTTAGTTAAAATGCATACGAAATAGTATGCTTCTGTTTTGTTGTAGTTTTTGCCATTGATAAAGAGGATTTAAACTTTTCTTGTGTTAATGTGTCCGTTTAATCCGCTGAAATATATGAATCAGAGGCAGTTGTGTGAACACAAGAGAATACTAAATATTTTAAAATCAGAAAAGTGTGTGTCAACGTTGTATCCTTTCACCATACATGTTCAATATGTATGTGGACACATCTATTTAACATTTTTATATACACGTTTAATTTGTATAATGCATGAAAGTTGCCAGAGCATGAAAGTTGCCAGAGCACTGAACATACAGCTAGAAAATTGTAACATGCCAGTACCCAGAAATAGTTCATCTATATTACGACAAAGTTTGAGAAAGCCACCGATGTGTCTAGTTAAATGTATCTACTCAGCCTTTCTAGCCCCCACCCTCTACATCAGATTCGTTCTCTACCATCACACATTGTTTCTGTTTTTGTTTTGAATGATTAACAGTAACACATTTTAAAGCTAACTAGCAAAATAAGTGTCTGTATATTAGTGCCTAATTTTAGAAATTCTGAAGTCAGAGAGCTGAAAAGGAAGTTTCAAAGGGGAATTCAGGAAGAAAACATCAGCTAAATGCTATAATAAAATGTGCAAAGTCCTAAAGTTAGAAACCCCAAAACTAAGAACATGCTTGACATAATTAAACTGAAAGAGTGCAGAAAAATATTAAAGTGGCAATATTAAAATATTTGATAGGCAACAAATATTAAAGTGGCAATACTGAAAGATTGTATGGACAAAATATTAAATGATTGAGGAAGCATCCATGCAAGAACCAATGATATTGAAGGAAGAAGGCCAAGTTGCATTGAAAGCATAAGCCAAAAGTAAGGCTCCAGGAATTGACTGGATACTATGGAAACATTTCCACAAGCTGTCAAAACACTGGACGCTTTTACTTGCCTATGCCAGGAATGTTGTAGACAGCTACCTGGCCAATTGCCTAGTAGAGATCCCTATTTTTACCCAGCAAAAGAAAGGTGACCCAACAGAATATTCAAGCAATAGAACAATATCCTTGATATCACACGCAAGTACAATTTTTCTGACGATCATCAACCAACAATAGCAGGGGTTCACAATGGATTTGGTGGAGAATGTGGAACAAATGATATCATTGTTGAAGTCAGATGAAGCTTGGCTGACAACAGGGAATACCGGAAAGATGTTTACTAGTGTTTCATCGACTGTGCAAAGGCATCCAGCCATGTGAATTATAACAAACTATAGACAACTTCGAGAAGAATTGGTATTCCAGAACACTTCATTGTTCTCACTCAAAACTTGTATGTGGATTAAGAGACAGTCGTGTCAACAGAATAGAATACTTCATGGTTTAAAATCAGGGAAGATGTGTATCATTTTATCTTCTCACCATATTTATGCAACCTGTATGCTGACCAAACCAGCAGTGAGAGGGAATTATATGAATAAGCATTGGAGGGAGGCTTATTAATAATCTGCACTATGCAGATGACACAAGCTTGCTTGCTGAAAGTGATAAGGACTTGAAGCACTTGCTGATGAAGATCAAGGATTGCAGTCTTCAGTATGGATTATTATTCAATATAAAGAAGACCCAAATTCTCACACCTGAAGCAGTAAGTCACATCTTAATAAATCATGAATAGGTCGAAGTTGTCAACATTTTTGTATTGCTCATATAAGCAGCAGTTGAGACATCAAAAGGTAAAGTTGCATTAGGTAAATCTGCTGCACAAGAGCTAAGTATGGAAAAGTAAGAATGCTCCTTTGAGAATTAAGATGCACCTGACCCAAATCATGGTCTTTTCAATTGCCTCAGATGCATGTAAAAGTTTTCAATGGCCTCAAATGCATTTAATAAGGAAGACTGAAGAAGAATCTATGTATTTAAATTGCAGTACTTCCTCAATGCAAGAACACTTTGTTCTAATAACCTGGCCTTCTGTGATGCTCACCTTCCCAGCACAATCAGAAATAGGTGCATAAGCAAATGGGTGCATAGGGAAATGTAGTGACGAAAGCTGATAGTGTCTGGCTATTAGAAGATATAGTGTCTGCCAACTTAAAAGCTTGAAGGTAAACAAACAGCCATCTAGCCAAGAAGCAATCAAGCCTACATGGATGAAGCACACCAGCCTGTGTGATTATGAGGTGTCCATGAAATCATGTATCAGGCATCAAAGACCCAGAACAAAAAATCATGTCAATGTGAATGAGGGGGAGCATGGAGTGGAGACTCAAAGTCCATCTGCAGACAATTGGACATCCCCTTACAGACGAGTCACAAAGAAGGGGTGAGCCAGTCAGGGTGCAGTATAGCACCTATGAAACGTACAACTTTCCTGTAGTTCTATAATGATCGCCCCTCCCCCCAACTCCTACTATCATGACCCCAATTCTACCTTACAAATCAAGCTAGACCAGACCATGTACTCTGGTACAGGTAAGAGTTCAAAACACAGGGAATCCAGGTCAGATGAACCCCTCAGGATCAATAATGAGAGTAACGATACCAGGAGGTTAAGGGGAAGGTGTGTGTGGGGAACAGAACCGATCACAATGATCTACATATAACCCCCTTCCAGGGGATGGACAACCGAAAAGTGGGTGAAGGGAGACAGCAGTCAGTGTAAGATATGAAAATGATAATAATAGTTTATAAATTCTCAAGGGTTCATGAGGGAGGGTGAGGGAGGGGGGAATTGAGCTGATACCAAGGGCTCAAGTAGAAAGAAAATGTTTTGGAAACGATGATGGCAACATATATACAAACGTGGTTGACACAATTGATGTATGTATGGATTGTGATAAGCCCTGTAAGAGCCCCCCGCCCCCCAATAAAATGGTTTAATTAATTAATTGTGGTGCTGGTGAAGAATATTGAAAGTACCAAGGAAGTACATGCAGAGTGCTCCTTAGAGGCCAAGATGATGAAACTTGGTCTTATACTTTGGACAAGGTGGCAGGAGAGACCAGTCCCTGGGGAATGACTTCATGCTTGATAAAGTGAAGGGGCAGTGACAGGGAGGAAGGTCCTTGAGGAATGGGCTGAAGCATGGGAACGATGGTGGGGCTTTCAAGTGACCTGGGAGTATGTGCTCTGTTGTGCACAGCGTCACTGAGTTGGCACTGACTCAATGGCACCTGATAGCAACAACCGTGACAACGGTGTCCTCGTGAGCATTATGGCAGAATAACAGCTATTGAGTATCCTCCGTCTGGTGCACGAGTGATGGTGAATACATTTGTCATGCAATCTTCTCTCCTTGACTCTTTATCATCCTTCGTGAATGGAGTTGGTGGAGTCTCAGTAACCCTCAAAATATATGTAACAAGAAGGATCACTGCACAAGATCTATGGTTGAATAGACACAGTGTGAATCACTAATAAGAGAGTGGAGACTCCTAACTCCTCTAGTGTGTACATTTCTTTTTCTTTCTTTTTTTTTACATAATGGAAAAAACTAAACCATAAGTATTACAATCACCTTCAGTAGCTTTTGCTTCCTGTCCAAGTACTAACTTACATTGCAGTAGCCACGTTGTTTACACCTTAGGTAAATGGGACAGGACCACCACCTCCCACGGTTCCTGGCCGTGGGAGAATGCTGACGGCTCAGCCATGGAGCTGATGAAGCAACGGCTGGCCTGTCTTTCCACCTGAGAGAAATGGACACTTACCTCCTGTTCCCTGACTAAAGCTACAGAAGACAGCAGCCTACAAACGTATGTAAGAGCCCCAATAAAAGTATTAATAAAATAAAATGTATCAGTTAATGCATGTGCCCAGCTTCATCCTCCCCTCCAGTCTGTGAGTAACTTGGCTGATGTATGAACACTTCTTTGTAAACCTTCAAGTTGTGAACTGTCGCTTTGTGTGTGAACCTGACACATGTTGAGGATTGCATGCAGGGATTGTACTTAAGCTTTCCCCGAATAAAGCTCTGGGCCCTGGAGTCTCTAAGTGCTTTAGGGACCCCCATGGTCCAACTGCACCTGTACTGTCATCTTTTGTATGTAAGTTTTCTCAACTGCAGACCACAGCCCTTTCAAACCTGTCCATGATGTAAGATAAGGACAGTCCCGATATCAATATTAGCTTACACTATATTGCTTGTTTTTGGTTGTTTAGAAATATTAGAAAACTTTTAGACTATATTCCTCAGGTATAAATTCTATGAACACTTTGGGAAAATAAAATTCATGAAAGCACACATATTACAAAATGGAAATGTGATTCTATCTGTGTCAAAATTTAGGGTGACAAATTTTGTTTTTAATATTTTGACATACAAATTATCTATATGAATATTAATAAAGCTAGATTGAAAACAGATTCAATATGTGGGGAAATAGTCCTTTAAATATTAAATGAAATAATGAATTGTGAATATGTACACTTTTAGAATGATATAAAATTGCTATGTGAACAAATTTTTTTGATTGAGTTTATACTACTTTACTTTTAATACCTTTTTTTTATTGTTGTTGTTATTCCTAATTACAGAAATTACCTATTTGGTTTGTAGTTAACTCTCATTTGCCTTTCCCTCCGCTTTCCCATGCCTCACTTTCACTGCCATTGAGTTGATTTGAACACTTGCACTAGAGGGAAATATTTATAACTTAAATTGTGAATATGAAACTAATTTAAACTTCAGGTTTTATTGTGTATACACGTGTATTATCAGTATTATATATTTCATATTATGGAAAAATCTAGGAATCTAAATATGTTGCCACATGGAATGATAAAGTAGCAAAAACAAATATGAGAAAGATATGTTTGCATATATTTTATATCGATAAATACACCTCAGTGCCTATTCCTATGTATCTAAATTATGCATATATACATAAATAGTTGATTCAGGAATGTTAATAAGAATGGAAAATTAGTTATATCTTATATGCTTAAACTTATTTTTGCACTTCTGTGTTCACTTTTTGTTATTCTATTACTACAATGAGTATATATATTTTATTAACAGCTATTTTAAAGTCATTATATCAAAATTTAATTTACTATACTAGGTAATACTTTCTGCTTAATTTGCAATAAATTAATAAAAAGTAGCAGATTAGCAGCATGATTCCAAAATCATGTATATACACAAATATTCAATACAATATTATCTATTTTATTCTTACATTTTTCCTAGAGTTTTTTTCTTTTCATCTTTTCCAAATATTTTCACTGAGTATGCACTTGTATTAAAAATGCTAACTATGCAGTATTTAAAATGAGAATACAAAATATTAGAAAGTTAGGAAAAAAAGGTAGCCCACCTTATTTTTAGCACAAACAGTTCCTTCGCTCACCCACATCATGTTGCTTTCAGTATTATTACTATAATAGTCCACTGTGACACAGATTTCTCCTTTCACATTGGTATACAGAACAGTGGCATTTTGAATTTTAATTACATTCTTTTTGCTATATGAGCAGATTAGTTTTCCACATTTCAGGTCACTGTAAATACATCAATAAATAAAAATTATTATTTTATAAAAATCACAGCTTAATTAAAATATTTAAATAATATATTCAGTGTTTGCAATGCAATGTCTGTAATTAATCATAAAATACCAAAAATAAAAGGGCACTGCCATAATTATTCATTGTCACATCATTTTATAGTTGAGAACTGCTGCTTTAAATAGAAAGCTTGATTAACAGTCTGACCTGGGGGAACAAACTGCAAATCCATTATCCCCCTCACATCAGTGGAGCTTAATTCTGATTTTTTGGTTGTATTTTTTGGGGGGTGGGGGGGTAGGTAGCCCCTTGTATTACTAGAGGAAATGTAAAATGGTACTGTCTTTTTGTAAAAGATGTTGTTAGTTCTTATAATATTAAATGTATATTTGCCATATGACTGGAGAATTCTACGTCTAATGATGTAACAAAGTAAAATGAACAAAATGCATCTATAGAAAGAAGTGTTCCTTAAGATTCAGTGGCATTTTGCATAAGAGACAAAAACTGCAAATAATTTAGATATTCAAAAATTAGTAAATTGTTAAAAAAATTATACCTGAAGAATGAAATCATCAGTAATAAGGAATTCCATACTATGCCAAAAAATTACAATTTTTAAGTGCTAGAGAAGATGAATAAACCTCCAACACTATAAGCAAAAGAAGCTAAACTCAAACAGAGCATATTGCATAATATCTCTGTTATAAAAATCCAAACAAAGGCTGTCTAACATCCTTGTTATAAAAATCCAAGGAAAAGTTTACCATTGTAGAAAGGAAGCAGGCTAGGGTTACAACTAATATGCAATTGGAGTCACAAGAATTGAGTGTAAATGCAGCATTTTAGGAGGTTTGTAGGTTTTTGCCCCTCTCTACACATTTGCCCCCGCCCCCCAAAGTGTCAAAGCAAGCAATTATATCGATGTGAAAGAGAGGGGCTGGAGTGGAGACCCAAAACCCACCTGTAGACAATTGGACATCCCGCCACATTAGGATTACAAGGAAAGGACGATTCAACCAGGGTGCAGTATAACACCGACGAAACACACATCAATCCTCTAGTTCTTGAATGATTCTCCCCACCTGCCCACTGCCCACCACTAGTTCTCAGTTCTACCTTACAAATCTGGCTAGACAGGAGTACATGCATTGGTACAGATAAGAGCTCTCGGCACATGGAATTGAGGACAGATATAGCCCTCAGTAACAGAAGTGGGAGTAGTGATATCATAAGAATGGGGGAAGGTGGGGACAACGGAGGGGAGGGGGAGAAACGGGAAACCCATCACAAGGTTGGATATATAGCCCATCCCCCAGGGTGATGAATAACAGAAATGTGGGTGAAGGGAGACAACGGACAGTGAAAGACATGAAAAACAACAATAATATATAATTGATTAAGGATTCACGAGGGCGGGAGGATGTGGGGGTAGGAGGGAAAAAATGGGGAGCAGATAACCAGGGCTCAGGTAGAAAGAAAATGTTTTAGAAATGTTGATGGCAACTTATGTACAAGTGTGCTTAATACAATTGAATGATGGATTGTTATAAGATTTCTGAGAGCTATTCCCCCCAAATGATTAATAAAAAAATAATTTTAAAATGTCGTGACCTACAGTTTGGAAATCATACCTGTCTTTATAAGAAAATATTCAACGAACCAAAATCAATGGCTTCTTGAACTCCACAAAGAATTGATGGCACAGGCAAACCAGCTCTTTGAATCTTTAAAATGAAGTACATGTGGGAAGATAGAGCATCTGAGATCGATTTATCTGAATCAGACAGAAGGCAACTGGTAGGATGAACCCAACCCATTTCCCCAGAGATGATTCCGACTCACAGCAGTTCTAGAGGCTTGAGGACACCTATCTGCTGAGCGTTTCCAAGACTGCAGAAGCAGGACACTACATTTTTGTCCATGGAGCAGGTTTGGGGTTCAAAATGCCAGCCTTCCCTATAGCAGACAGGGCTGAATCCCTGCATCATGACTGGTCACTAGAAACAGATGTTTAAATCATACTTCTGATGAATCTCAGCAGACTGAGTGTTGGTTCTAAGTGTGAAGGTGACATTTCTACAGAGGCATTCTCATTTTCTAGGAAGCCCATCAGGTTCTGAAGACATATGGTGAGAGGATATAACCATGATGCAGTCGTTCAAACAGAACCAAGGAATGTTATGTGCTTTACAATCAGGAAAGGTGTGCATCATGGTTATATCCGCTCACCATATGGATTCAATTTGTATGTGGAGAAAGTAATCAGAGCAGCTGAGATATATGAAAAAGAATTTGGCATTAGCATTGATGGAAAGCTTATTAATAATCTTTGATATGCAGATGACACATGATGAATGTAGAAAGATAAGATTGAGGTTGTCATAGATTTCATCCTGCTTGGGTCCACAATCACTGACCATGGAAGCAGCAGTCAAGAGATCAAAGGACACACTGCATTTGGTAAATCTGGAGGTCAATACATTTTTAATGTGTTGAAAAACATGGATGTTACTTTGAAGACTACGGTGCATCTAACCCAAGCCATGGTATTTTAAATCACCTTATACACATGTAAATGTTGGACATTTCATAAGGAGCGCTCAATCAGAATAGATGCGTTTGAATTATGATGCTTGAAAAGAATATTGAAAGTACCAGGGACTATCAAAATAAACAAATGAACAAATCTGTCTTGAAAGAAAACAGACAGAAGTTTCCTTAGAAGCAAGGATGGCAAGACTTTGTCTCGGGTACTTTGGACATGCTATCAAGAGAAACCTGGAAAAGGACAATAAGAAAACCCTCAAGGAGATGGATGGCCAACTGCAGCAGTGGACTGAAAGATCGCAACAATAGTGAAGCGAATCGCGACTGGGTGGTGTTTTGTTCTGTTGCACATATGATAGCTATGAATTGGACCCCACTCAGAGACGTTTTTCAGTTACAAAAGAAAGCTCTACAGAAATACAAGCAGGCTTCAACGTGTGGGGGGAAATGGAGTTAAAAATAATGGGATCTTTCTACCAACTTTTGAAGCCCCCCTCATATTTTGGATGGCCACACCTAGGAGATACAGGCACATTAAAATAATAACAATTCATTCAAAGCCAAGAGAACATTTCTGTGCTACTTCCTGTCATCAATCAAGAAAACTCCCATAAGTATAATGGCGGATTGGCGCTGACAAAGGAGCCTTCATGGGACAGTGGTTAAGGGACTGGCTACTAAGCCAAAGGTCAGAATGTGAACCCATCAGGGACTGCAAGAGAAACACACAGCCATCTGCTTCTAGAAAAATCACAGCCTAGGAAACCTTAAGGGGCAGTTCACTCTGTCACATAGAGTGACGTGCGACAGCCACTTGTGACCAATGAAAGAACTAGTTGCAAGATACATACTTTTTCTGAGGAGCACTAGAAAAGGGAAACCCCAAAGCCAAGAGGAGACAGGGGGAATCCCAATAGACAAATTCCTGCAGCTACATTTGCTATACCTACAGAAATATGAAACATGTCTAGCTACTTAAAAGATTAACATATATCTTTACACTTCAGGCACACTTAAGGGAACCTGATGGAACTTGGTCAAAAAGAGGATCAGCAAACGAAGAAGAGCCTCCATACAGACGGGCACACTAGATGCAACAATGGGATCAACCGTAACAATTGTGGGGGTGGTTTTGAGATCAGTGTTTTTGTTCTGCTGTACATAGGGTTGCTATCTATTCAGCCCCTAACAACAGCATCAACAAGTCACACAGAGTGAAGTCTTGGACTGATAACCACAAGGTTGGTGGCTCAAGCCCACCAGCTTGTCTGCAGGAGTAAGATGAGGCTGTCTTCTTTTAAAAAGACTTAGAGTCTGAGAAACCCTACATTCTGTAGTTATGAGATAGATTATACTCAATAGCATTGGTTTTGGTTGTTTGGAATAAAGACCTATTTACAACAGTATTCATTACTTTAGAAGTTAAAAAATACAAAAAAGACAAGGTAAAGCATTCTGGAGAGATAAAGCAAGCATGAGAACAGGCTAAAATATACAGTGGTTGGAAACAGATAAAAACTTAAAATAACTATCACTAAGATGCTAAAGGATTTAAAAGGAAAATGTAGACAAAGCAATGAGGTACTTTCAGAAAAGAGATGGTAACTGTTAGAATCAGTGAGAAGAATCAAAGGAAAATGATCAGAGGAAAAAGTTAGAAGAATACAGAAAAGATGAAAGAAATGAAGAAAAATGAAAAAGAAAATAAGCTTTTTCAAGGATGTACAGAATTTGGAACCCTGATAGGTTGCTTCTGGAAATGTTCAGCCACAATGGATGGAGAAGAATCTGGCAGTTACCCAGAAAGTTAAGTGTGTATTTTCCGTACAAATATCCACTCTCATCGAGCCCATTCTGACTCTTAACAGCCCCTTAAAGCATTTCTGAAACTTTAAATCGTTATAGAAGCCGAGAGCGTCATCTTTTTCCTGGTGAGTTGGTTAGCAGCTCAAGCCCTCCCTGGAAGCACCGCCAAGGTCCTGTAAATTTATCACGTGACCCAGTAATTCCACTCCTGGGTAGAGAGCCCACTGAATTACAAATAGAAACTCAAACACCTACTTGCACAGCAATGTTCATTGCCACATGATTCACAATAGCAAAAGGAAGGAAGGACAGGCAAAAACAGAGATCTATATCTACTTGAAAAATTATTCAATTATGAAAATGATTGATATTCTGAAGTATGCCATGACATAGATAACCCTTGAAAACATTATTTTCAGTGAAATAAGTCAGACCAAAAGCCCATATACTTTGAGTAGACTCATAGGGAACATCTAAATAGCCAAATTAATAGAAATAGAAAGTAAGAATTGGATATTTCCAAGTACAGGGTGAAGGTGAAATGAAGTAATATTACATAATGAATACAGAGTTTCTGTTTGGATGATAAGATATTTTTGTGAATAGAGGTGAAAGTCATGCAACATTGCAAATGTAATTAATGCCACTGACTTGTATGCAAATATATATATATTTATATAGACATGCATAGATATGTAGCATAATAGCTTTTCTAACTTAAAAAGTATCCAAAGTTATGCAAAATTTCAACTGTGCAACCATTAACAGCAATGAGAAAAATGGAACAGAGACTCAGCTCAATGCTACAAAATATCTTGAATTAGAATACAATATAATTAAATTCAAATACATGGGGATGGATTTGATCCAAACACCAGAAAAGTAGCTATGAAACATTATTTATACTGTGACATAGTTTTAATATGAATCTCATTTGTTAACTATGGTATGGTTATGTAAAAATATATATTTTCAATAAAAACAGTGTTTTCATAGTTAAGAAGTACAACTTCCAAGTTCCATTCAAATGGTTCAGGAAAAAGTATGCAGAAAGCGAAGAAGAAAAATATTAGAGTAAAAAGTATGTTTAATTAACATTCAAGTTCAAATAATTAAATAATTACAGTTAGCACTCACATTGAGTTTCCTGGGCCAGTAACTCTGAGTACTTTTCATCTAGCTTCTAAACTGAAGACCAGAACCCACTCATTGTTGTTAAAACCACAAATAGAATTCTGATTTTACATGAGAAAATTACAAAGTAATTTTAATAGATGATTAATTATTACAACAGATTCAAAATTGGGCATGAAGAAAATATAATTTGGACTATATATGGTAAAACATATTTTGTTTTCATAGTGTTTATTATTTTATCACATATGAACATTCTTTATGGTCGAGTAATATTTGTATTATATATAAAGTCTAACATCCCCTGATTCAAATTTAATAAAATCAAAACAAACTCACTGCCCTGGAGTAAATTCTGACCCCTAGTGACCCTACACGACAGAGTAGAACTTCTGTTGGTTTCTAAGGCTGTAAATCTTCATGGGAAAAGAAGTCCTTCCCCTATGGAAAATTTGGCAGTTTTTAACTTCTGACCTTGTGGTTAACAGCCTAACTGGTGAGCCACTCAATTACCAGGAATCCTAAAAATAGAGGTGTTCAAAAAAAAGGTCTTAAGTTTACCCAGCTGCACAGGGAGTGTATTGTCCACCACTCGAACCACAGTTTCCTGATTGATCTTTCCTAGAGTTAATTTCTTTAAAACAATTATCAGAAGCAAAACTTGTGTCTAAAAACAAAAGAGAGTACTTTGTCATATTCAATGCAGTATACACTTAAAACATTAATTAACAGTTTAAATTTGGAAATTATTTAAAATATTTTCAAAATGGAAATGAAAAAGAAAATAAGATCACACAAAAATCACTTACATGCTTAAACATATTGAAAGTACCTTACAAGTAACTACTAAAGCACTTTACCTTCTACATTTCAGCAAGTGTATAAATACAAATTTACAAGTATACAATAGTCACTAATTATTTATTAATATTTAATTCACTGGTAAATAATCTTTTCTATTACATAAATGTTGTTCCAAAACAAGCTATTCATCATAACAAATCAAAACAAGCTAAAAATCATACCGATTTTTTTCAGCAAAATGACTCAGACCAAAAATCTTCAGTGCTTCTCTTGATTCTTTCTCACACTCATTTTCCAATCTATCTACAAGACTAGATTCATACATACAAAATCCAAAATCCTGAAGAACAGTTACGTTTTCCATCACCTCCACTAGTTTTTGTTTTGTTAAAAGGAGGAGGGGTGGGGTGGGGTGGGGAGATCGAGCTGTCTAAGGACTACACTGCGGAGTTGCGGCACACCTTGAGAAAAGCGCCAGCAAACACCCCTTAACTCAGCTCCACACTCCTGAAGTTTGGAGTTAAAAATTAGGAGGTGATTCCCTCCCCTCTCCACAACACTCGAGGTCATTGGCAAATCTGGCTATAGGTGAGAAGTCAAATTTCTTGTCATTGACACTGAACAGACAACAAAGGCCAAAATTTGAGCTCCTTACATGAATAAAGTGATAAAATTAGAAATTTAACATGACTCAATCTTTGGTTTGTCCATAGGTTTTTGCCTTATTCTAAATATGCACAGGACAAGATTTAAACTATGAATGATAAGTTGCATCAAGCAGAGAATTCCCAAACACACTCTGTCTGTTTACATACCATTAGTGGAAGGGACCTCAAGAGAATATTACTCTCGTTTTAAAATCCTGATAATAGGTTGTTGATATATGTTCTTGATTCAATTCCCACTAGGAGCAAGAGAACACCACATTGCCGGGTGCCATGCCATCCTCACAGTTGTTATATTTTAGCCTACAATTGCATGCACTAATGTAAATCTATCTCATCCAGCTTCCTCTATTTTCTGGCCCACTATTTTACCAAGCATGATGCCCCTTTCCAGGGAAAGTCTCTCCTGGTAACATGTCCAAAGATGTGAGATGAAGTCTCACTATCCCGTTTCTATGGAACGCTTGTTATACTTCTTTGAATATTTTGCAGTAGATGTGTGTGTAGTGCTGACACTCTATGCTATTGTACCATAGAAACCCTATGCACAACACAAGGAAACACTGCATGGCCTTTGCCCTCCTCACAATTGTTCCTCAACCTGAACCCATTGCTGCAGTCACTGTGTCAATCCATCTCGTTAAGGGCCTTTTTGACTGCCCCTCCGCTTTACCAACCGTGATGGCCTTCTACAGGTTCTGGATTCTCCTGAAAATATTTCCAAAGTATGTAAGGCAAAGTCTTCCATCCTTGCCTCTGAGGAGCACTCTGGTCATACTTCCTACAAGACACGTTGGTTGGTCTTTTTAGCAGTCCATGGTATTTTCAATATTCTTTGACAATACCACAATTTAAATGTGTATATTCTTTTTAGATCTTTCAAGTTCGATGTCCAACTCTTTTAAAAAAATATTTTATTGGGGGCTCATACAACTCTTTTCACAGTCCATATACCCATCTATTGTGTCCAGCACATTTGGACATTTGTTGCCATCATCATGAAAACATTTGTTTTCTACTTGAGTCCTTGATATCAGCTCATTTTCCCCTCCCTCCAAGCCCCCTCCCTCATTAACCCTTGATAATTTATAAATTATTTTTTTGTCATGTTTTAGACTGTCCAACATTTCCCTTCACCCACTTTTCTGTTGTCTGTCACCCAAGGAGGGGATTATTTGTAGATCCTTGTTATCAGTTCCCCCTTTCTACCCCACCTTCCCTCCACCCTCCTGGCATCGCCACTCTCACCACTGGTCCTGAAGGGATCATCTGTCCTGGATTCTGTGCTTGCAGTTCCTATCCGTACCAGTGCAGAACCTCCAGTCCAGCCAGATTTATAAGGTAGACGGGATCATGATAGTGGCAGGGGAGGACGCATTTGAGAACTAGAGGAAAGTTGTATGTTTCATTGTTGCTACAGTGCACCCTGACTGGCTAGTCTCCTCCCTACAACCCTTCTGTAAGGGGATGCCCAGTTGCCTACAATGGGCTTTGGGTCCCCACTCCGCACTCTCCCTCATTCATAATGATACGATTTTTTTGTTTTTGATGCCTGATACCTGATCCCATTGACACCTTGTGATCACACAGGTTGGTGTGCTTCTTCCATGTGCGCTTTGTTGCTTCTGAACTAGATGGCCACTGGTTTATCTTCAAGCCTTTAAGACCCCAGACTATATCTTTTGATAGCCAGGCACCATCAGCTTTCTTCACCACATTTGCTTATTCACCCGCTTTCTCTTCAGTGATCCTCTTGGGAAGGTGAGCATCATGGAATGCCAGTTTAATAGAACAAAGTGTTCTTGCATTGAGGGTGTACTTGAGTGGAGACCCAATATCCATGTGCTACCTTAATATTAAATCTATAAATGTATGCACATAGATCTATTTACCCATCGCCATATATATAGTTACATACGTACATGCCTGTATTTAGACCTCTATAAATTCCCTTTTCTTCCTTGTTCTTTCCTCTATTTCCTTTTACTTTCCTCTTGTCCCACTATCATGCTCAGCCTTCATTTGGGTTTCAGTAATTCTTCTTGGTTACATTGCCCTTGATCAAGCCCTACCAGGCCTTCTACACCCTCCTTGCCATTGATTATTGGATCACTTATTGTTCCCTTGTTCCTGAGTTTGTTAACTCCCACTTCCTTTCCCCAACCTCTCCCTCTCCCATGTCCACCTGACCGTTCCCCCCCGCCCCCACCGGAATCATCAATCCTGTTGCTTTCTCCTCCAGATTGTATATCCCACCTATTTTATCTAGATAGACCCACAGAGGTAATAATATACACAAAAACAAGACAGAGCAAAACAAAGCAACAAAAGAAAAGAAAACAACAACAAAAAAACCAATGCCCCTCCCCCCAAAGAAAAGCCCGTAAATAGTTCAACATCTGTTTGTTAACATTTAGGAGTGCTTTCTAATGAAGTCTGATGGGGTGCCATGCCCTGGCCACCCAGCCTATTTTTGGTATTCTCTTGGAACTTCTTTGCTCTGCTCCCCTTGCTGTTCTGTTGCATGCCCTTAGTGTTTTGTCTCAGTATAGTGGGGTCAGATCGGGCACAATTCCCAGTCTGTCTCCAGTGTTGTCCACTGTAGGGCTACGGGTCAGTGAAGGATGTCATGTCACATAGTGTGGCTGGCCCTATGGTCCTCTCTGTGCATTGGCTGCTCTGAGCAGGAATATCATCCTCAAGGCTTGCTGGGCTAGGATGTGCTCCACTCTCTTCCTCCCCCTTCATTTGCTCCTGTGTGCGCTGATCAGACATGTCCTCTCTCTGAGCTACAACTTCAGTGTTGTCCTCTGAAGTAAATTCTTCTTGGGGGAGGGGTGGCCGTCCACGTAGTTGCAATTAGGGCCAGTCGCTCAGACCTCTCTACTGGTCCCCTGATTCATACCGGTATGTTGCATTCACATCTTGGAGGACTAGGTTCATGTCTGGTCCCTCTTTCCCTGTGGAGATATAAACAATACCCTGCCCTTGGGTGGGTTAGTGCCCTGTTCCCTGCTAACCATTTCTTTCAGTTGGCTACCATAAATATCCCTGGATTTGGTCTGGCCCCTGCCATGCTAACTTGACCTCACCGCAGGAATGTTTGTATACAGTAGCTTTTTCCCTATGCCCCTTTTACATTTTTTTAAAGCTTACCTCAGTAGCTATGTCCAACTTCCACATGCATATTCAGCAATGGAAAAAACCACGGTTTGGTCTGGTCAACCTTAGTCCTCAAAGCAACCTCTCTGCTTTTCTGGCACAGACTTCATAGGCAGATCTCAGGCGCTTCTCCCTAGTCTTAGTCTTGAAGCTCTATTGAAACTGTCCACTAGATGATGACCAAGCTGATAAGAGGGGGAACCCTAACAAACCAAATGGGCAGAGCAGAGTTTTCTTGGTACATATTTTTCCCACTAGGTGAGCATCTAGCAACTCTCTTTGAGATAGTGCACCCATTGACTTCACCTAGGAAGTTTCTCGCTGATCATAGTGAATTTTTTTGCAAAAGCAATTTTGCTTGAACCTCGTTTTTTGTGATGGCTGATATGAGAGAACAGTGTATAGCTATGAAATTTTGTTTCCTGCTCAGCAAAAATGCTTCAGAAACTGTTCTGATGTTGAACACAGCTTACAAGGACAGCGCTATGGGAACAATTTAAGTGAACGAGTCGTTTTGTTTCAAAAAAGGTGAAAAGTTGATTGATAATCCTCATTCTCAACGTCCATCAACTTCCCAAAGGTCGACTTGTAGTGCATTTGGAATCTGTGCTACCAGGTCAGACAGTTAATCAAGCTTGCTATTTAGAGGTTCTTAAAAGATGCCATAACAGTGTAGGACAAAAAAGGCCTGAATTGTGGCAGATGGGGGACTGGTTTCACCACCACAGCAATGCATTTGCTCACTCAGCCTGCTCAGTGTGCCGGTGTGGGGCAAAAAATTGCTTGCCTCTCTTAACCCATGCACCTTACTCACTTGATTTTGCTCTATGCAACTTCTTTTTGTTTCCATGAATGAAGCAGAACATTAAAGGACAGTGATTTGACAACTTAGAAGAGGTAAAGAAAAAAATGAGAGAGGTGCTGTCAGCCATCCAAGCAGATGAGTTTGGAAAATGTTTCCAAGAATGGAATCGCAGATTTGATAAATATATTGTATACTGGAGGGTATTTTGAAGGTGATATGTTTGTTTTGTAA